GCGGATGTTCTGCCGCAACCGGCGGGAGAACCGGCTGCGAGGAGCTGGTTGCCTTCTGCGTCGAATCCTTGTTAGTAGCCAGCGGATGAGCCGGCTGTCTCTTGGCATTTTTCTTGACCTTGGCGCAGGCCTTTGACCCGGTCTGATGGTCGGCTGGCTTACCAGATGCCGCGCAGATGACGCAGTGCGGCGCGGCAGTGCACGTGCCAGCCTTGTGACCGGGCTGACCGCAGCGGAAGCACAGTTGGCTGCGGTCTACTCCCGCGGTGCACCGTGCTCCTGCATGTCCTCCTTCTAAGCAGCGGTAGCACCGATAGGGCTTGGGCTCTAGGAGCACGACCTGCGCCGAGACCCACCCAACCAGAAGCCGCTTGTCCTTTATCTTTTTGGCCGCCGCTACAGGACAGCTGACCAGAACCGTCCCGAGACCGGAGACACCCCGGCGAATCGTGCCCGCCTTGACTTGATCCGGCGAGCATCCTCCGGCCCTGGAGATAGCAGTGGCGACCTCTTCTTGAGTGACGGAATCATCCAGGCCTGAAATGCGCAGATCTGCGCACTTGGTTGGCCTGGACACTTTCACTTCGTCCGAGCCTAGAGACGCCCTGAGTTTATCGGCGAGGGCGTCTGCTTTGGGACCACTGGTAGCTCCCGATACTTCCAGTAAGCGGCCGCCGGTAGCAGTGGTTTTGCATCGGAGGCCTGTAATACCGAGATCACTCAGCGAGATCTCGGCTTTCGCCTTTGCCAGGATCCCAGCATAAGTTAGGCCCCGCTCCTCGGCCCCTGGCTGCAGGGTGAGAACCACTGCTGTAGAGCGGGGAGTGCTGAGCCTCGCGGTCTGGCGCTTGGCAGCCATTTCTTCTTTCCGGGCCTGCTTTTTGGCCCGCTGGCGCGCCTTTTTAGATTTTTTGGCGGTGCCCGCTACCGTCCACTCCGCCTCGGGTATGATAGCGGGTTCGCGTATGGCTGGCTGAGCAGTGACAACTGCTTTTTTAGCCAATTTAGCCTTTTTTTTGTTGCTGCTGCGTTCTCTTTCCAGAAGCAGCAGTTGTGCTCTTGTTTTGTGTGGCAGCAGCCGCTTGTGCCGGTTGGGCGGCACGGGGCGCTGCGACTTGGGCTGCATATGTCGGTGCCTGAGTACTGCGTTGGTCTGCAGCCAGAGGAGGACGCAGGATCTTCCCCTCAAGCACTGAGAAGCGCGCGTTGAAACTCGCCATCTCCTGGCGGATCAAGCGAGTCAACTCCATCTCTTGTGATGGTTGCTGCTTTGACGTCTCCGAAGTCGCCTGCGGTTGCAGTTGCGGCGTTATATGCGGAAGACCTACCTCCCGCTTGAGTTGCTCGCGCCGGAAGTTGGCCATCTCTTCCTTAAAATCTTCGTGCTCCTTGCGGAGCTCCGCCAATTGCGCTGCGAGCTTTTTATTTTGGGCCCGCAGCAGGGCCGTTTCTTCAGTTGTGGAGCGAGTCAGAAGCACCTGAGCACTCTCCATAATAGAGGCCGTGGCCTCTTTAAGTGCTTTCTGACTGCAGCCGCTAAGGCCCTTTGAGACCTTGCTCACACGTCTTATGGCTGCAACCGCGTCAACCATCCTCTGATTTAGGTCGGAGGCAGGGAGCTCTTCTGCCTCGACTCCTACATCAGTGACGACAGACGACGACTCCGACAGGCGAGCGACTCTCCCTTTCGTCACTCTTTTCGTCAGAGCCGCAATAACGCAGTGATACTTACGTGATGTTGTGTGTGTGTACCTACGTATCATTCAGTAAATTAAAACAAACAAATATTTTGAACGTTTACGAACTTTTTATTATTATTTTTTTGGTATCGTTGTCTTTGAGTTCGTACGGATCTTAAAAAGGGAATTTAGGATCGGGTCCAATCTTAAAAAAAATATGTTGACTTTTATATTGTAGATGTAAGATAGGTACATTTAATAAAAACTTCGTGAAAAGTCCCTGCAAAAAATTTGCTTTTTACGGTTTTTCATCGTTATCATCATTTTTACTTCTAATAAATTAATCGATGCATGGATGATATTTATTGCTATACTTACATATAAATACCAAGTAGTACATAAACAAATTACAGCTTCAAATTAAGCTTTACCAGCAAAGTAATTGTTACATTTCATGTATTTTTTTTTTATGTGATGGTTCGGTAAACGAGCAGACGGATAACCTGATGGTAAGCAATCAGCGCCGCCCATGGACACTCGCAATAACAGAGGAGTTACGAGTGCGTCGCCGATTTTTTGGGGATTAGGGATTTTGAAGATTTAGGGATTGGGGAGGGGAAGAATTGGTTCATTCTCCTGCTCTAACAAACTAATTAAGGAATGTCAATCTAAATAATTTAGGGCTGATTTTCAATGTTTTTATAATAACTATCGTGAGACATACTAAATTACTCACTTACTCACGTGTACATGTTGAGAAAAGCTCTACTAGTTTCGAACCACAGAGGGGTTCTTCCTCATGAGCAGCGTGAACGGACGCGGCGACGTCGCGCAGTAGGCTGTTCTCAACATGTACACGTGAGTAACCCGCGAATTTTAGTTAACTGATTTTCAATGGTTAGATAAAAGTTATCTGGGGAATAGTTATGATGCTGTCGCGTCACAATGTTTGTATAAGTCAGTGACAGCAAAGTTTTTCAAGAAAGTCAGGTTCTTGCCATTGTTTGGTTTGATCTATGAATGCAATTATTTCAACAATCAAATTGTATATCCTCATTTGCTTATTTACAGGAGAGATAGTTGAGGTAGAGGTCGGAGACCCAATCCTTTCCATCACAATCCCAAAATCTCCAAAACCCTAATCCCTAAAAGATCGGCAACGCACTCGTAACTCCTCCGTTGTAGGTGTAAATGGGCAGCATGATTGCTTACCATCAGGTAATCCTCCTGCTCGTTTGCCGACATATCACTTGAAAATACCTAGTCTCGCGACCCTCGATGTACAGAGTTAGCGATCAAGTTATATCCACGACAAATTTTTCTCAGTCCGAAAATGAATTCTATAGTAGCTAAATTATACCAATTCTCACAGTCGATGTATTTATATAGAGTTGAATGTGCTTCTAGCGTAGGTACATAGGTAGGCACTGACTCGCTTTGTTCCAAGTTGCAATCTTTGTATCAGAACACATTCGTATTGTTTAACCAAAATAGACTAACGAGTATAGTCTTGCAGTGGCCGATCGCTCATACAGGCTGATATCGAATAAATGCGACAAAATTAAACGGGAGCTTCTTACAGTAACATAGTAATTATAATGTTTTTTTCTAAAATATAAGACCATAAATAAAGTGACGTGATTATCGTTTAAAAATGGTCCATTCTTTATTTAAGTACGAATTATCAGTATTCCAAAAAAAATATTATTATGCAAAAAAATAAAAAAAAAAAATAAAATATCAAGAAATCTCGTCCGAAATAACGCAGTGCAGCATGTTATTATACGTTGCCGTTCATAGCGATCATTCACCTCATTTTACCTATTTTAAAAGTTTATTAATTTTACATTTGATATGTTCTAAATTTACTTGACAACACTTATATTGTATGTTGAAATTTGTCGCATCTATTGAATTTCACCCTGTAGATAAGGTCTATAAATGCATGTAGTCTGCTATAAATGCATGTAGTCTGATATAAAAAAAAAGTCAAAAATCATTTATTCCAATTAGACCTTTACAGGCATTTTGAATGTCAAACAAAATTTTGAAGATATAGTGTCAGGCTGTCGGTCAGTCCTCTTAGTGAAGCTATTTGCTCGTTCCAAAGTGTAGATTCCAATGGAGAAGAACGAGCAAGAAATTCCATGGTTACTCTTTTTAAATCAGTTTCACAGAGTTTGGGCCAAGATCTTGGTCCGTCCTTTTTTATAATATACTTGCAATGACTTCAATGCAAATACTAAATTCCTCCACTATTCTATGGATATTGTATATACTAAAATTAAAAAGGTAAAATTTTTAAGTTAGTGTGTAGGGTATAATCTTTTGGACCACTGCACTGGTCGAATTTCCAAAATTATTTCACTGTTAGATACCTACAATGTTCGTGAGTGCCATAGGCTATAAATGATTGGCTATGTGCAAAGCGAGTAGGACAGACAACGACCGCAGCGCACAACGCGGCAAAAATTGGAAACAAATGCGGATGATCAGCTGTCAAATGTGTTGATTGCAAAATCAAAGCAAAGAAATGGCCGTTATGGCGCAGTACTTCCACATTTCTTACATACTCGACTAATACTAATTTATTGCTGTTTGTCTCAGTTTGTGGTTGGAAAGTAATATTATGTGTAATGTGTATATAGGTATATAGTTTCAAGCCCGGTTTTTATTTTTATATTCATTTTATAGTAAAACTATTTAAAAAAATTGCACTTAAATAATGTCAACAATAGTATTTTAATCTTTGGTTTTATTTATATTTGGAAGGAAAATTATAATGTTTATGTCTTAATCCAAGGAGAAAAATATAGTCCATTTATTTTACTTCAAACATGAGGAACTTCAACCTTAATTCAAATATGTTTGGGGATTATGGTGATTACTTTTACTGGTGATGATAACCACGTTGTTGCTGATGATTGGCGGGCGGTGCTGGTGTACGTGTCATGTTCGTGAACGGACGCCGCCTATTAAGACTGGTCAACTCGAGACTGTCTAAAGTTGCTGTCCCTGAGGTTCATTTCTTTTTCGGATCCTTTGGTTAAACACTAGTGTTACACTGTTCTCACATAATAGAACTATCTAAATTATGTAACAATGCATTGTAAAAAATGATTGAAAAAGAGTAACCATGGAGTTTCTTGCTCGTTCTTCTCCATAGGAATCTACACTTTAGAACGAGCAAATAGCTTCACTAGAGGACAGACGGACAGACTGACACATATAAAGTTAAACCTTATGATATCTTTTTTGCTTGACGTTCAAAAGTGCCTTTTTTGGTCTATTTGAAATAAAGAATTTGATTTGATGTTCCAGACACGTGTGGTGGCGGGGCGGCCGCGTGCGGGGCCAACTGCACCTGCGGCCCCAACTGCGCGTGTGGAGATGGCAAGCCGTCTGGTCAGTAATACTCTCTTAGGAAGTATAAATACACTAAGTTATACACAATCTCCTACTTTTTCTAAGTCATTATGAGACTTTTTCTAAGTCATTATGAGACTATATTTTTATTATAACTTTCGTGAGACATTCTAAATTATTTATTATGTTTTCGGCTTACTCACGTAATAATTTTGACGAGATACTCGACTAGTTTCATGCTAGAGGCCCATATTCATGAGGAATGCTGCTCATGAATATGGGCCTCTAGCATGGCTTGAAACTAGTCGAGTATCTCGTCGAAATTATTACATTATGAGACTTTTTCTAAGTTGTTATGAGACTTTTTCAAAGTGGTATGTAGTTTCTACTGTATGTAGACACCACTGATAAGCGGTGAAGGAAAACTTTGTAAGGAAACTTTGATTTATGAGTTGATCAAGCGTGGTGATAAAATTCACCGTGAGAAAAAGCCTTAGCTTAGCAGTGGGCACTTACAGGCTTTTTTGTGGGGAGAAAATCATAAAATGACTTCTACCGCTCAGGTTGAGGCGAGATCCCTCTCGTCAGGCGTCAGAATTTCAATGACTAAAAACCCCCCGTGCTATCTCCTGCTCTAAGCCGAGGCCGCAGTGCCTTTTTGCGCTGAGGCACTTGCAGGCAGATGATGTGATGATGTAACTCTTTTCAAATTTATGAACACTGCAGCAAATTTGTTAACTTATTATAATCAATAATAAAACTGTACAATAATAAGGAAATTTTCTGGGCTGAGTAAACGGGTCGGATGTCACTCCGACTTTCCTACGTTGGTGACGCCTGTTCAAAGTGGACAGGTGCTTGGCACAGTGATCTCCTCTCATAAGATGTGGTGTTCCTTCTATCTTCCCCTCAATTCAGTGCACAGTGTGCGTTATATAAGTATATCCACATGGTATCCTGGTTTACGGGACTGTCAATTGTTACCTACTTTTGGTTTAGTCAGTTTAAGTCTGACACCTCCACTTCACCGCTGGCACTGATGAAATGTAGAGAGGGTGGTTTCCACACGAGAAAAAGAAGTTTCACTTTTGTTAATCTGATTAATCTGTGCTGCATCGCCAGCTTCTCCTTTACTGTCTACTCTAGATAGTCCTCTTTTTGGAACTATCTAAGTTGAACAAAGTAGATGAACCCAACTTTTTTTATATGTCGGTAAACGAGCTGACGGATTACCCGAGTGTGAGCAATCGACGCCGCCCATGGACGCTAGTAATACCAAAGGAGTAACTACAAGTCCATTGTCGGCTTCTTTTGGGCTTTTAGGGATTTAGGGATAGAGGATTTGCGGCTAGAGGAGAGGGGAGGGAATTAGATCTTTGTGGATATTTTAATTATTACTTATAAATGATTAATGTGTTTTATTTCTTTCGACAGGCGGCAAGCCATGCTGTCAGGGAGGCGGCAAGAAGTAATTACTTACTTACTTACTTAAAAAACTCTTCGAAAAAATTCTAAACAAAAATTTTCCCAAATGTGCTCTATTTTAAAAATTATATAATCTCTATTACTTATATGTCGTAGTATAAATAGCCGTGTAACTCGTATTAAAAAATTTGTAATGTTAGATTCTATAATTTAATCAAATTAACGAGGTAATGTTGTGTTGTCATGAAATAAAATTAGTATAAGAGATTTAATTATACTCAGTAACACTATTATTCTAGCTTATTTAGGATAGTTTATATTCGTCTCTGCTTATGTAAAACTAAGTGTAGTTTATAATATATAATTGTCACATTCAGTGTTTAGCTTCTCATAAAGGATTGTTCCTTATAGTACTTATAATACTCATTAGTTTAGTTGAAGTGGGCACGCACACACACGTCTCAATATGTGTAGTGAAATATAGTTAATAAGTAAGTAAATAATGTGTTTTATTTATATTTATTTTATCCTACCTAAAACATTCAATATAAAAGAGCCAAGTATCCCTACTATACGCAATTTTTCCATCGTAAAAAGATTTGAGTTTGCATAGAAGCCAAGTCCTGTTCAGCATAATTTTTAATAATAAATCAATATTATGTTTTTTACATTACCTACTATAACAGTGATTTGATCATGAGTACCATCCAAATCCTAGCTTTGTCCGTATCGATCATATACAGGAGGTAAAATAGCTACGAAACGCTTTGAGAAAAGTATGCTATGGCCGCGCCCGTTTTACTCGAGACTTGTCTGGGGCACTGCCGTGCCCCCATATAATGCTGGAGAGTTTGTTTATTTGAACGTGCTTATCTCTGGAACTACTGGTTCAAATTGAACAATTCTTTTTGTGTTAGTTAGTCCTTTTGTCGATGAAGGCTACAGGCTATATTACACGTGAAGAGCTGGTTAATAAATACTTTTTTTATGATATAGCTTGACATACCTTCACACTAGATCATAAGTAATCTGAGCCGTTAATTATTGTTTTCGGCTTACTCACGTAATAATTTGACGAGATACTCGACTAGTTTCAAGCCATGCTAGAGGCCCATATTCATGAGCAGCATTCCGCGACACGCGACGCGGCGACTGTCGCGCTGCTACTTAGCAGCACCAACACTATCGAGGAGTTACAAGCGCATTCGCAGCCCTTTAGAGGTTAGAGATTGGGGGATTGGATGATTTGGTTTGAGAAGAGGAAAGATTAGGCGAAACAACGAAAGCGTTATTCTACTTTGGTTTTTGGTTACGCATGTTTTTTTATGAGATGGAAATCATCAAACGATTTTTCTCGCCCAGGGTGAGGCGAGATCGAGCGTCAGGCTATTACTGACTAAAACCTACCCTGTACCTTATCCTGCTCTAGACTGAGGCTGCGGTGCCTTATGGCGCTTTTCCGCAAACCCGGAGTTTATTGTTTTAGGCTAGTAGTATCCAGTAGTTTGACTATCGATTGGGACGGTGCATTCGTAACAAAATATGGCTCATCTAGACTTGCATGTTGTTAAATGAGGGAGAGTAAAAGGCGGTTAGTTTTGTACTTATGTGTGTAAATCTGATTACTGCACATAATGCAACGATTGAGATTTGAATAAAATTTTGCTTGAAAGCTGGGACCATAAAAATAAAACTCGAAAATCATTAAAACATATTTTTATTTCATACGACAATATGTATATGAATACAATAATTATATCATGGAAGCAATTAATGGGACTTGTTGTTTCAAGATTATTATAATATAATATAGTTCACACTTATTTCTAGTTTCATCCCGATTTAAGGAATTACACTTAAATTCTAAAATTGCATACACGAGCAATATAAAATGTAGACATAATAAGTAGATAGGTAGTTACATAATGACGCAAAAAATAATCAATACAAAAAAAACTTAAAAATAAAAATAATCTAAAAAATGAGTTCTCAACATTCGAAATTCAGTCTCACATCAGCAGCCATATTCCATTTTACCCAACTACGTCAAAAAGGAGGGTAATGCAATCGGAAAGTGATTGTTGATGTCACTACAAAAATAAACCATTCGCTCTCGTAGAAAAATGTTAAAAACTTGTTTATAATACAGGCAAAACTGTTGCGGTAAGCAAATCAATATCTTTATAAAAAGCGTAATAAACGACAACTAGAAAGTTTGTACAAATAACAGCTTTTATACTCGCTACTTTGTAAACTTGTATAATTAAATCTTTAATATCTACTATCATATCTTTATAACTACGTTACACAAAATAGTTATATGTTCCGTCTTAGGTACTCAACATATACCTAAAATAAAATCAGTATATAATAAACACTTGGATATATTTCTTGAACTCTCATCAACCGAATAAATAGACCTCGTTATACAATTCATATTTCATTTTCATACAATCTCGTTTCATACAACAACATTGAAAAATATATTTCTTAATTACAATAACAGACTGTAACAAATGCACTTTGTTTTCAATTCCACAGTTATACATTACAATAAAAAAACGTACCATTTTATTAGTAACAAAATATTATCAACATGGCAACCCTGAATCTACTCGTAACGTCAAATCAAAAATTACACTCACTCTAAGTTACAAACTAGAACATATTGTGGAAGAATCTTAGTGGCTCTGATGCAACGAGTCCCCGCTTTAACTAACAGGCCATATGCTTAGGCCTTTACTAATTGAACATCTATTAAAATTTTCAAAACGTCCCAACATTAATATTCAGAAAATCATAGGCCTACAACGAACATTTGTTCCGTTTATAGAGCCACAAACATTCAACCGCATACAATAACAAAGTTGATCACAAGTAAAATAATCACTGAGAAATCACGAGCCGACTTCTAACACACACTACCAGAAAATTGCCAAATGGCATAATATATAGCATTCTCCCGAGGTGAATTACATCCACCCTTACGATCTCATTCCTCACAAACTTAGAACACATCTTTTTTAACTGGCAACACATGCCATAACATGCTATAGCATGACAGCTGCCTTTGACAGGCCGCCATGATACATTTAGCCAGCTCAATTTGACAGCCCGGAAAGGCTGGTAAACACTCCGCGGTAACCAATACCTGTCACAGCTGTTACTTTGTCACGGAGTAATAAAAAATAAAAAACACTAACATTAAATGAATAAATTGATAGTTAAGTAAACCAATAGAATACTACTTTAATTTGTAAATCTATGAAAGAATTTTAAAAGATTGGAGTAGTAGTCGTGAGCAAAGTAATTTGTAGTAGTATTTCATTTTATTAATATAACACAAGGATTTTCTCCTATGTCTTGGTTGCGTTTACAAACATACAATTTCAAATACACATGACACCCAGACCCGGAACCACAATTTGTGGATCATAAAAAGAGTTTGTTCGTGCGGGAATCAGACCAGTGACACGTTGCGCGGCAGCCAGTCACCAACCGTGTCAATAATAATTACTTATAAGTTGGTCGATTACTTCATTTTTTATTACTCCGTGTAGCTGAACTTGGATATTTTTGAACCTTTTGGCTAGTTTGGCATCTGGCACATTAGAGTAGAAGACACCCTGGCATGGGTGGGAGACAGCTGTGGCAGGTGGCAGCCACCTAGGGAAGCAGTTCTTCCTCACTGTCCTCATCCGAATCATAAACAGGCGCTCCATTCCTCATTTGTATCACCGACTTCTTTCTATGACGATGTTCCTTCTGGTCTTTGTTCAGGTCTCTGTAAAGAAATTGAAATAAAATTAGATTTATTTTTTGAAATTGGAAAAGCATAGTTTCAAAATAGATTGAGGTTAGCTTTAGCAACTTTTTCGGTTTTAAATTCATATTCGAATTCTAAATTTAAAAAAATGGTCATTTAATACTAGCGTGTTATTCAGAACCAAACCAATTTAAGTAATAGCTTTAACTCTATCAAACAGTCTTCAAGTACATATGTATACCTATTATGCAAAGAGGCTTAAAACAAAGTGATATTTAAGGATATCTCTCCCAAAAAACCAGGCTTTTCATATCAAAGCTATCATAATAATTAAAACTAACCTGCCATTAAATAGAGGACGTAACGCACTCTTGAGGCTGGTGAAGAGGTAAGGGTACATCCTCTCCTGGGAGGCCAGGAGGTCCCGTGCACTCTCCAGCGGCTCTGAAAGTGAGGCTGCCAGTATCTTATCCTGTAACTCCTCACTCGACGCTTGTGTCAGTCGCTTCTCTGATGAACTGCATGCTTCGGTTAAAGTTTCGTCCAAAATAGTGTCTTTACTAGAATAGAAATATAATTATGGATATTTGACCTTTTTTGTTTGTGCTGTTGGAATTCTTGAATTGAATTTGTCCTAATTCTTATTATTATTACAAGTTATTGAAGAGTCGAGTGCAATTTCATTAAGATTTCATTTAACGATCACAGTTACAAAAAAATAAACTTTCAAAAGATCAGAGCTTACTACGATCTTAATTTGTACCTGGGCTTAATAATAATGCTTGGCCCAAGCAGCTGGGGTATTTTAGATCAACATCATCAGTCATATCTATGCTTGCCGCGAGGCGAAAAAGTGGTTAAATGTTTTTCCTTTTAAGGTACCTATTGTGATATAATATTATTTGAATTACTACAGTATCTGCTTACCCATTATCCCCATTATCATCGCTATGTGCGGGGCTGTTTGGTGGTGAGTCAGGAGAATGCGGCGCGAGGCGGAAGTCCGGCAGTGCGCGTGCGCACGAAAACGCAGCCAATGCGCGCCCGCGCACGTAGATAAACGGACGAATTATACGGATGTCGTGGTCACTGGGAAAAAAATAAGCCTGCGGTATAGTAAGGTATAATCTTTATTGATTTTTGAGTTGTTGTTAAGAACCTTTAAAATAATTTTGTAGTTTTTCATCTACAACATTTAACACCTGAATGCTTTTCTTTTTCTTGTCACTGGCTTAAGGAATATTGCCACTGGCTCGTATGGTATATCTGTTTTAAAACTCCAAAGACTATGAATTTTACAAGTAACTTGGGCATGACTATGTTCGTGTTCATTATAAAACTTATTAAAACAGGATATTATGTATTAGTGTAACTGCAAAAACAACAAACAATTTGGAACGAGCACATTCAGCTTCACTGACGAACAGACTGACAGACTACTGTTCTATGACGTTTCAAAAGTACCTGTTTATGGTTTAGGTGAAATACATGATTCTGACTTTGAATTTGATATTTGTAAAACTCACCGTAGAGTATAATGTGGTTTCAAAGTCCTCAGCGTGCCAGCGTGTAGGGCGGCGGCTACGAAGGCCGTAGCGGCGCGGTCTAGGTGCTGCGCAAGCGCTGCTACGCCGTAGCCGTGCGCCAGCGCCGTAGCTATGGCGCGCTTACGGGTACTACGGCACGACCAACGGGTCGCCTCCGCTGCTAAACTCCAAGGGTTGTTGCAAATTACATCTGGAAAAAAGTGATAACAATCACTTAATTGGAAATACAAGATTTCGTTTAAAAATAACGTTAATGATGTAATTTGTTTTATAATATTTTTATTAATTTTTATTTTGTATTTTTGAACTAGTTTATAAATTATTTTCTTTGCACGCCGTAAGGTAAGGTAAATATATTAAACAATACCTTATAAAATTATCCATATTTTTGTAAACGTACATTTTTGCTTATAAATTATTCCTATTTCTGTGCTATGTAATGTGTTCTACTTCAAATGTAGTTTTGTAAAAATTCTCACTAATCGAGACCGCCCGGCAAAATGGTAAGGATTTTCCCTTTCGATTTTCATTTGTTTCCTTTTTCAGTACTTAAGGTGTAGAATCGACAGTCTGTACCGACTCCTATCTTATCAAATATTTTTTTGTAATGGCAACACTTACTTTCTGGTTCATCTTCATCAAACTTGTCTTCGTAAATGAATTTGACGCCAAGTGTCCTACAGTACGCCATTAGATGCAGGGGATCCACTTGTGACTTCGCTTCGTGTACAAACAGAGCTCCTGTAAACAGACACACCATGAAGTAACCCAGAACTAATTTGTGTGTAGATTTGACATTTTGAACATCAAATTTTGAATCCTTTTGCGCATTCGCTTGAAATAATGTTCATATCTGGTTTGAAGTCCCACAAAAGTTCTTTAGTTGATGGATGATGTGAATGTTTTATAGGTTCACATCATCCATCACTTTTAGTTTTATGAGAAAGGGCGGCAACGAGCGTACTTGTCACCTGATAGTAACCAATCGAAGCTCATGGACTCCAAAGGAGTTGCAAATGCGTTGCTACGTTTTAGAGGTCAAAGATTTGATAATTGGAGATGGAAAAGGGGAAGAATTGGGTTTCCAATACCCTCATTAATACGGCCAAACGGTGGATTTCTGTGAGTCCACGTCATCTATAGAAGTATTGTTCTCCCACAAGTAAAACTACAATTAAAAATCCACCTTTCAAGCGTGGGGATATCCAGCCGGGGTTGCGAGGTAAGCGCAATGAGGCATCGCGGCCTCGGCTCAGAGCAGGAGAAGGAACAGGGGGGTTTTTAGTCAGTAAAAGTCTGGCACTCCCTCCCGCCCGACGCTGGGTGGTAGAAGTAATTTGATGATTTTCCCCTCACAAGAAAAGCGTAAGGATAAACAAAACTAAGCCTTATGTATAGGAAAGTACGCGCCATTCTGTACAAAAGTCCCGTGGTAGTCTTATACACCAATGGGAGCAAAGTTCTGTTAATATGATGTGTTATTGATATCTTACCAATACTGAAGTGTATGCCCTTGGCCCTGCAGTAGAGCTGGTAGTGGTGCATGGTGTGTAGGAGAGCAATGGAACTGCTGCCTCCTGATAGACACACCAGCACCTTATCTCCTGGCCTGATCATGTTGTATTCGTGTATGGCCTGCAAAAGGAGAAAGAGAAGATTTATTGAAAATAATGACGTGCGGAGGGTTAAAAAAATAAATTACTAAATTGTTTAATCCAATTATTTATTATGTTTTCGGCTTACTCACGTAATAGTTTGACGAGATACTCGACTAGATGGGCCTCTAGCATGGCTTGAAACTAGTTGAGTATTTCGTCAAATTACTACGTGAGTAAGCCGAAAACATAATAAATAATGTTTAATCCAATATTTCAAAGAGTTTTTTAAATAGAAGTATTTAAGCACATACCTCAACTGTGGGTTTCCACACGGCTCTGGGAGGGCAGTGCCAGTTGCTGTCGTCATCCAGAGTCAGGTCTGTGAGTGATGCGTCGCTGCAAGCACTGCTGTCCTCGTGTTCCTCTCTCTCCTCCTCCCAATGAGGTTTGAATGTGCGGCACTCGGACTCACTGAAAAAAAGGGATATCTGGTTAAATTTTTAAAGTTTTGGTTCTGTTTTAAATAATAAGCAGTGTACACATTTTTACGATGAAAATGAGAACTTAATTTTTTTATTAGAAAAGTCGAATTATGTTATGTCATTCGAATTATTCAAGGCTTTTTTAGTGTCATTATGTTTTATTTTTAATTACAACTGTGTGTTTGTTGGAATAAAGGAAACATGATTACTGTTATTAAATTTTTGTTTGAAACTAACCTCCTATCATAAAACCGTTCGTCATGTGTCCTCTGGTCAGTGCCATAGCCACTGGATCGAGAGCTTCTATCAGAACAGCTGGAGGACGCATTGGAGGAGCGGCTGCAGCGCTTTGAGTCCACTGCCGTCGTGGCTCTAGAACGATACAGGCTGAGGGTTAGAAAGGGTTGAGAACTTACTCGTTCGGTGGAAAAAGAATTGACAACCTATAGAAAATCATTCTCTAAAATATCTCTCCATATAAAAGTAAGTAGTACGCAATCTCCAACACCAAAGGAGTTACGAGTGCGTTGCCTGCCTTTTAGGGAGAAGGAAAGGAGGGAGAGGAATTGGGCCTCTGGTAACCTCAATCATACGGCGCAACAAAACGATATAGTTGTTTGTATTGCTTTTATTATATTTTAATTAATTAGGTATTTAATTGTTTACTTTAGTTATGCTGAGCCCTACAGGGCCCTACATAATTGTATCCTAGCTGTAAGTCAAACCTGTAATAATACCTACTTTCTGAAACATTATGATACGCAAATAAATAAATGAATATTAAAAACTATACGCGTAGACAAGTGTATATACTTTACGTACTACTGAAGAATAGGACCAGAATGTTCTACCCATTGTCGCCAAGTGCATCGACCCAATTACAATGTTGCAAATTGGTGATAGATTTAAAATGGCGCCTGCCAATCTGAACTTGGGATCAATCAGATGAAGTGACAACGACTGTGTTATTAGAAAGGGCGAACAAAATTATTGATAGGGACAGTTTCATTATTCTTATATTATTCGCTTATGACATAAAACTGTACCTATGTACATACATTTATAAGAATACTATAGATAATTGAGGTTAATTGTTTTATTTTTTCTGATATCTGCCAACTCAAAAAAGCTGTTCAGAGATTGGTTATTATTTAAAAACAGGGCACGACTTTTTATGAAACATAAAGTCGTTTTAAAATAAAATTTTGAATAATACAACTTAAAATATAGAATAACGCTATTAAAAGTAACAACTGGACGTTTAAATGAATGGCTCTAGAGAAACTTGAGATGGTTGGATGGATACGCTTTGATTTATTGCCAAAATTCTGCCCGTGGAATAGCAACGCCATTTTGGTTTTAATTTAGGTAAACTTCACTAAATTCTTGCCAAGAAGTCGTGAATTCTAGCAAATAGTTTAACGACCTTACTCTAGTTTAAACAGACATACTGGCTATGAGGAATTTTATATGAATTGTTTATTTAAAGGGTATTCAATGTATAGTAAAACTTTTGGAAGATATGGGGACGTGTTACTACATGGTCCTATATGGTTGTGGTTGTAGATGGGCTGTTCTAGACCTAAAATGTAGTAAAGTACTTAAGATGCTTTTAATGAAATAGTCATTGTTTAATCACCAATTTTAACTGCATTCATGGACATGAGCATGACGGTTCCTTCATTAAATTTTGAAACATGTTCTTATCTAAATTAACTAAAAATCGCGGGTTACTCACGTGTAAATATTGAGAAAAGCTCTACTAGTTTCGAACCACAGAGGGGTTCTTCCTCATGAGCAGCGTGCACGGACGTGGCGACGTCGCGCAGCCTACTCTAGTTAATTTAGTATGTCTCACGATAGTTATTATAAAAACATGTTCTTACCTATTCTGTCTTTCAGGATCTTCAGCGAATACCACTCTGCTGGAGTCTGTGGCGTCGTACCTCTTGGTCTGGCGGACGTGATCACCAGAACACACTGGCACACCTTCAATAATGTCTGGCACTTCGCTCTTCTCATGTTTCTGGCATATCCGTAGTCTGCCCTGGAACTTTCTCGCCTTCGTTGTCGAATCTGTAAAGGAAATTCAATACGCTTTTATGATTTTCTTGAATTTTTGTACTTAACTGTTCTAATGTAGTGCAATTTTGTGAGGTTGGGTTTTATCTAGTAAACTAGTGTTGCCTATTAAAACCTGCATCAATCCACTGTCCACGAGAAATAATGAACATTTTCGCCAATCAGTGTTTATTGACATTGAATTGCTCAGGGTCGACGACTCGAACCGCAAGACGTGAACAATTTATTGACACCACTTAGCAGGCGCACTGATTTCATCCGGGTTCCATTATTGTCTAAAAAATTAGTCATAATAATATCTACTCACCGAATTCTAGGAATGAGTCTGTTTCTGTGAACGTCATATTAATACCGCTGTCCTGTGAACTGACTGAGGGATTTTGGCACCAATTTTTCTTGATACAACAATGTCTGCAAGTGACGTCAGTACAACTCGCTTCGTCGTCCGACAGTTTTTGTGAACTCAACGATTTGGGAAGGATCGGCGAGTTCTGTGTTGTGACTACTTGAATAATCGTATCGGGTGTAGAAGTCTCACTTGAATTGAACGATATGCTGTTAGGCCCTGACGCTTCGTGCGACGGTGTACACTGTGCAGACTTTGGAGAACTTGTGTTCGGAGAGCGCTTGCAGAAACGCCCTTCATCTTCGTCATATTGAGGCAGCACTGGACTAGTGGGACATTTCCTTAAACTGGCAGGCGCCTTTTTGAGATCCAGTCCTAACTCAGGGCCAGAACCAATTCTTTGTCGACCAGTTTGTGGTGGAGAACTCTTCCGTGAGCAAGACCCGGTGTAGTCTGGGGATATCATCTCATCAACCTGATTGACCATTTCACGAATTTCGTGTTTCACTTCCGAAGCCATTTCCCGTGACATGCCCATGAGATATTCAGCTACATCTATGACTGATACTGAATTCTTATCGCTTTGACTAGATATTGAGTTCATACTAAGATTCGACTGTTCAAGCGAATCAGAATTCTCTAAAATATCATCTACTTTGGAGATGACTTCGCGTATTTCTGACTTTATTTCTGTTGCTATTTCTCTGGTCATTTCTTTAACATAAGCCTGGATGTCTTCTGAGGTCTGTGAGTTTAGTGAAGTTGTCGGCGATGTTCTTCCTACTTGGCTGCAGTCAGATATGGATGTGCTGCTCTGTGCGCTGTAGGGGAACGCCCTGCCAGGTGAGATCATGGGGTCGTCTAATGACTGGAGGTCTGTTTGACTTCCGCAGTTACAGAAGTTTGATTTTTCAATAATATTGTTGGGACTGGTTTCTTTCAATCCCAGGTTCAGTTTTGTTTGTGCGCTGAGTGCTACGGGTGGGCTATCTGACCCTAAGCTGTAGCATCTCGACCTGACTAACTGAGGTTGTCTGTTCTGTGGTATCATGCGAAGTGGTGACACAGACTCCCCAACAGCAAACTGTACTGGAGGTGTCTCACTTTCCTCTTTATGATTTTCCCGTAGGCTTGATTCTCTCGAGTAGAACTTTGTTTTCTGTTTTAGTCTAAATATATGGCAGTCGTCTATGGCTGAAAGACTGAAATGTCTTGGCGACGAACCCAATATGGGCGATGAAGTAATGGAAGACCTTGTCAGATTTAGGCTCTTTCTTGCTCCTGTGTACCCTGATGGGTCAAATGGCACAATGTGTTTGACGTTACCCGATCGACCTAGAAGAAGGTCGTGGGCTTCTTTGGGTAACATAAACCATCGAAGATAGTCTATGCGTGGGTTAAAGGTGACCTCTGGTTCAGCCGTTGAGCACTTCATGGCCAATTTCCTGGCTCTGTTGAATAGATTTCTGGCTGTTTGTAGAGTCTCGGTATATGTTTGTGGGAAAATGCCTGGACCTGAAATAAAAATGATGGCAATTAAATCTCGAGTCATTGACGTCATATGTTTAGACGGTTGTATGTAAATATAGTGAATACTAACCAGAAATTCTCCTTTCGTGTGCGGTCATTTTACCGTCGTTGAACCTCAGTGAGTGCAATGACTTTCTGTCCCTAAGCACTGCACAGGTGTGGTGCCTCCACTGTCCTGTTTCAGGGTTCACAACATATTGTGGTAAGATTTTCCACCCTTCTGTAGCCACCATCTTCAACGCCTCGAGCACGAAGGCCAGTTCAGTATCTGACATAAAGAAGGGTAGAGAAACTCTGCAGAATCCAGGTCTCAGGTGTTCATTGTGAATGGGGACTTCAGGTGCCTTCACATCACTGAGTTTTCGAACCCGAGCGATCTCTTTCTGACTGTAATAAAAATTCCATTGATAAAAACAAACACGCTGATACTGTATGAGCGTGCAAATTATTCAGCCTTGAGATACAATTAACAGATTTGTAATATAAACGCGCAGTGCCCAAATGTTTGTGCTTCTAAAAATACGGTCGACGCTCAAGAAGCTACATCAATTTGTATGCCAATAGGCACATTGGATGAGTACAAAAAAAAATTGGTTAGTGTTAAATTAAAATTAAAAAGTAAATTACAACTGTACAAGTGTACGTTTCAGCTTTTGAAATATGTATATCACCATCGCGATTTCTAGACAGACTGAAGTTAGACTTGTTGACTCTTGAAATTATTAGTATTACTTATTTTCACATGCATTCGCTTCATAACCAATTGCGCCTTGAACAATTTGTATTGACATTAATATTCATGTCATACTCACGCTTCAACGTCTAGAAGTTTCTCATATTCTCTGAGAAGTTGGGCGTCGATTCCAAGGACATCGGACCCGTAGTTAAGGTTACTGGTCAGTCCACCTCTAGCTTGGATTCCAAAGACATCATTCAGGACTGCGCAGATAAAGTTGTGGTGAAGGAACGTTCCTCGAGGGTGCTTCACCATCAGTGAGAATATTGGAAGCCTTCTTACTGTTGGGGATACGTTACCCAACAGTATTAACTCTGGTATATTTTTTATGTGTGCAAGAACTTGTCTGAAACAAAACAAATATTTAAATTAAAAAATATATTCATCAACTTTACAATTTTGGAGGAACAAGAAAACGTCAAGTTGTGTCTAAAGTGTCAGCGAAAGGAAGAAAAAAATAATGAAGACGCATAATTTTTTCATCGGAAACCACAGTAATACATCATCATTAGCTACCAAATAATCGGTGTATTAATAATTCAGATTTGACCTAAATACATTAATATTTCAACCTTTAGAAATCTACCTAAAAGGTATCTCTTTACTATTTAGAATACCGACTCTCATAGCTGAAATTGGCAAGAAGAGCGTTAATATGGAAATGAAACTGAAGATACTTTGACATTTGGCCATCAGACCAGAATACGCTTAGCTGATCATGTATTAAGTAATGATTTTTACTAACATCTGCATAAGTCAATAGGCACATAAATTACCATACCAAGGCCTAAGGCCGCAGTAATAAAAAGGTAGAAATCAATAAAGCAGCGGTAGATTCTACTTTGACAAATGTAGCATGCAATTTTAAGCAGTGTGGACTCGTTTTTTAGGTAAATGGTAAATAACTGTTAAAACCTCATGAACTTATTTTCAATTTTTTGACTAATGACAAAGAAATAGCTCTATTAATTTTACTGTTTAGTATATTTTTCACTTCAGCAGCTCCAAAGCAGTCATCAGAAGTTCTTTGTAAAATATTAACTGCAGCTGAATATGGTTGGAGCGAAAAAACTGACTCCATGCCATTTCGGAAGTTGCAAACGCAGTAAGATACCGCGGCCTCGGCCTGGAGCCGCAGAAGAAAAAATAGGGGCTTTCTCACTTAAATTTTCTCTGAACACATTTCAAACAAAACACCAACTGCAATAGTTCTGATTGAACTAAACAAATAGCATTTAATATTTATTTACAAAACCACCAGACAAATTGACGATCAACATTGTGATTAACCTTCACACCAACCAAGGTCTAGGCAGACCTATGTATATGTTTACAAAATAAAACTGACTGACCCATTGATTTTATGTTTGTGACCCCCTGTTTACGACTCGTTTTCCGATAAGTAACCGGAACTGCATTTCCATTTTCATTATTTGAATAGGTATTATATTTCGTAAATATCGTCTTGTACTTTTGTTAGGCAAAGTAGCGGAATTTTCTTCGTAAAATACAAGCAATAATAATAAAAGAAAGTAAGTGTAGTATAAAAAAAGATCGAGTATACTCTCCTTTTCTTTTAAATGCTGAAGAAGAAGGAGGCAAAGTCCTAGCAGCTGCACAGCTTCAGACTAAAGATAGAGGTGATGATGATAACGATAGTATAGAAAGACATATAACACAACAAATTCTCTGTAATTTGATGATTCCATTACGTCCTTCTAAATATTGTGTTTAAGGAAGAGGATAGGACCACGGATATTGCAGTTATGAGAAAACAAGAGCACGTGTAAGCGAAGGCCACCACAAATGACATCCAATTTAATAATTTAGCATCGATCGATTCGACCACGTGTAGTTCCGTCCCTCAAATGTATCCTTCCAATGTATGTACTAAGTATCTTCAATTCCAAATATTGCTCTTTTAACTGTAACAACAAAGCTACCTAATCTATTTAACTCTTATTCAACCGCGAACCTGTAGAGGAGTCAAAAAAAAAGATACTTACCTGGGTAATTTTGGGTCATTGATTTCAAAAATACACATAAAAAGTGGTATGGCGGTTAAAGTAATCGTTTTTTGGAGGGAAGTATAAATACCTTCGTCTGTTCCCTCTTGTCAATAAGTAAATAATAAGGATGCTACATTTTTGACACGAAAACGGCGTGTTTCGAAATTAAACTATTTTTAAAGTGTAATTTCAAAGATTTTTTCAAGAAAACACAAATTATTTTGTTACCACTAATTCAAAAACCTACTCACAAAATATTCGTAAGCCAGAACAAGATGTTATCGAAATTGACAATGGTAACTGAATCGATTTATCTCAGTAACTGCTAAGAAAGCTAGTAAGAGAAGGTGGCTGTGTGTCATTTTATGGACTATTTGATAATCAATTCTGTTGCCAAGTTATGTAGGACAGCACTTGAACTGTCCGAAACTAGGACACGATCGCGATGTGTTATAGAACAAATGATTGTGCCATTTGTCTTTGTAACTTTACCGTGACGATGTTTAATGATGTATTGAATCATAGTTCTATAAAAAATACTACGAGATATCAAATTTTAAAATCGTGTCTTCTATTCAGTCAGGTATACTTTCTTCCACTTTCTGTGATAGCGTATACCTAATTTGGTAAACTACCATTATCGTGAGAAAAAAATTCTCCAAATTCCTAATTCCATAATACATTATTTGTAAAACTATGCCAAGTTCGAAGTTATTAAAGAGAAAAGATATAAAATTACATGAAATGTTATATTCGAATGGATACGGAACTCAACTACAGGCATATCTATGATAATGCTTGGAATCATGCCAACCACCTAATGGCAAAACTTTAAAGCTCTGCGCTTTACTTAAACACGTTCAGTGGTTAGATTGTATCAACTATTAACGATATTTTCCATGCAATTCTAATAATAACTGATTTAAGATGAAGCGGGAAAATGTTCCTTGACCTAGCATGGTTGAAAGTGGATGTAATAGAATTTTAACATTTTCACTTTTATAATCATCATTAACCATCGCAATCTTTTGGCCATAGGTCTCTTAAATGAACACCACGGAGTCCCGATCTTCACCTACATCCAATTTAACTGTGCAAAGCATCGATATCATTGGTTGAATTCTGTTTTAAATTGATGTCTCGTAAATTTAATGCCAGAACTGTGTCTAAAAACTTTCTTCTCATATTATAAGTACCACCACATATCAAAGAACAAAAATATGAAAACAAACAAGAAGTAAAAATTGCGTTTCTCTATAAAGTTGACGTTGGAAATTCTCAAGAGATATCTTCATTGAATTTGTTGAACAGATGACGTAGGCCAACAAAGGGTGTCGAGTGAGCTGACGTATTCCACGTTACTTATACTCGATTTGTATTCAAATCGAGCTGGGACTGCTCGAAGTAGGACATTGTGTACTTGCACACGTTGAATAAGTGAACTAAAGAATTCTGATATTTGTATTGAGAATAATTATAATTTGTGCAAATTATATTACAGTTCAACACACTCATGATGTTTAAATATCGAACAGGATTGTCTTTCTTTACTCGAAGTTGTTTTCAGATAGAAGGTTTAATTCTCAATCAAAGCATTATCATCATCATCATCATCGTCATCGTCATCACCCCATAAGTGCCCACTGCTGAGCAAAGGCCTCTTCTGACACGGAGAAGGTTTGAGTATTAATCACCACGCTTGCCCAATGCGGGTTGGCGATTTCAAACTTATAACTAGAAATTATAAGTCCACCACGACATTTTTAAAGCATTATAAGAAGAAAATTTTTTTGCCTCGAGCAATTTTTGGTAATTTTTATCAGGAGAAACGTTGTTAAGTAAAACTTTTATAGTACAGATTGCTTTTAATAGGTAAACTTCGAAATTGAAGCACCAACAAGCAATAACAATTGGCCTTGGATCGAAACCTCATCAGCTGCATTTACGATCACTTACTTGACGTCAGTCTATTGTTTTTGGAAGCTTTAAGCCACAACAGAGTATAAAACAGTATTCAAATCAACTGTTAATGATACTAAAATAATGCTTTAATCAATAAAGTCTATTTCAAGAACATTTTCTTCTATATAACATGTATGTGCCAGGTTTTCATCTATCTGAGAATTGTAATTAACTGCATTTGACCTACTTTCTCACCAGAAAAAAAATGTTAAAGCGGGTATTCTAGCATACGTGACCTTTGACTGCAAACAAGACGTGACCCCTACATTCTTGGTCTTTTCCACGTTGTTAATAAATTGGAGCATAGTTTAAAATACATTGACCGTTTTCTATGATATGCTTAACACAAGCTTCGAAGAAAACAGGGATATGATACAGTGTAACACCAGTAGGTAAACAACTCTAGTGTCGAGGATTTGGCCTTGCATCGAGCCAGTAAAATTACCATTCTCTGTGTTAGGGGATTAGGGATGTCGGCAGCCATTTCTATTTATCTTGCTGACTTTTTCTGTCATACTGAATAGTTCATTGTCATTATTTATGAAGGCGAACGAGGAAGTAGTGCTGTTGCTAAGCTAAATCGTTTGTGAAGGTTACTGTGTTCACCTCGGAGGTTTGTAGCTTGAATTAAATATGATCACATTTCTTTGCGATATTGATTAGACGTTATAGTTTACTTTGTTTAGTATTTAATTAGAACTATGTATAAGCGGAGCTAAGGGTGGCTAGTATATGTGCTTCCATTTAGCGTAAAAATACTTTTGTATTTATATTTTGTATGAGATAAGGTCGCTACCTAATATACGGATTACGGCGTGAAGCAATTGGCGAAGCAATCGGTGCCGCCCAAGGACACTCCAAATACCAGAGGAGTTGTAATTCCGTTGCTGGTCTGTTGGCGAATTTAGGGATTACGGAGAGGAAGGATTGGGTGTCCGGTAACCTCACTCAAAGTAAGAACAACAGTTAAACACAACGCTATGATTGTTTCGCGCTGGTTTTCTGTAAGGCCATGGTATGACTCTGGTCGAGCCGACCCATTCGTGCCGAACCATGGCCGTCTCACACTAATATGATACGGTTTATACACGTATGAATGTTTGTTGATGACATTTTCTACGCTATCATTTGCCAACCCTGCTGCATTTATAGTCTACTAAGCAGAGGCACGTTGAGCCAAGTACCGATAGGTATATTATAGGTCCATTTACGTAAACCTTGTTACCAGAGCTGCCGGCGTTTTGATGTTCACTGATGGGCCATACTGTCCAAGGCTAGGTTGTTATCTTTTATTATAGCTTACTAGCATCTGCTTAATACATATTGGTAGGTATCATTTGCTATATTGTTTTGGAGTTCAAAGCATTATAGCAAA